TTTTTAGTTATTTTAGAAAAACTGTTTTTTGCAACTTTGTGATTTGTTTTAACCATGTTCGCTATTTTGGATCGAACAAGAAACTCAATTTAAAATTTAATTTTCTATACGGTCATATTTTTTTTGTCCAGGTAATAATTTCTGTAAGCATTTCTCTATAATGCTTGGACTAAAGGGATAATGTTGACAGGCCAATCCAAGCGACTAATCAAATTTCACGACAGTACACTATAAATAACTGGTAAGGTGAACACATTGAATTTACGGAGTGAATCCTCTTAATGAAATTGACTCCATTTTCACTTAATATTGAGCATTTTGACATTTTTTCCAGTCACGTGACCAGTACTCACTTCTGAGTGTAAGGTGAGTATTAATCCATTAATATTTCAGTCATGACTAAATGATTAAATGATTAATGGCCTCTTGCAGAATTGATACCTTAAAGAAAAATTTATTTGCGACTTATTAAGTTGAACTTTTCATGAAAATAATGGATCAAATATGTTATAAAGAAAACAATTCATATTGCACGTTATAAAGATTACAACAAAATTCTTAATTCACGCGACTCATTTTATCTGAGCGATATCCGAGTGAAAACGTCGCCGCATATCGGATAGCTTTTGGGTGCTATAGAAAATACGCCTATTAAAGATCACGTGCACTGGTTTTTATCGCTAGAGGAGGTTCCGAAACGAGAAAATTCACTGCATGTGGTCCTTTAAAACTCCTGCCTTTAGCTTATTGTATATGGCAGGTTTATTATTTATGATAGTATAGATATAGATATTACAAATTAAGTATAATATCCTATAAAAATAGGATGCCAACTTTATTCATCAACATGTAACCATAATTCATAGAATGTTTCAGATTGTGTAGGAAAACAGTCGAACTTCAACTGAAAAAGATATGCGCAATTTTCTGTCCAGCATTTTAGAAAATTTAAGCAAGTTAAAAACAGTACCTCTTCACTGTACCAGTTATATAAATTTTCTTCAGTAAGACAACTGACAATGCATTTAAAATAAGAAAAAAAAGCATACATTAGGAAAAAATGCATACTCTCATGGTATGGTACTCGCGTACGGTACTACACACATAGTCACACCCCGCAGAATACCTTTAGGAAACGCATGCATTAATCAAATAATTATTGAATATCTGTACAAATTTGCTGCATAAAACAGGAGAGGTACATTTTCTGATATTTACATGTTCTTCGTGATCTTTCAATGTGAAAAATTAAAGGAAGTTGCTCTAGCATTATGGTCACTAGATCGATCTACTTGTTCTGTCATTGTCGATTTCCTGTCGCCAGCCCTAAGATTTTTTTTGTAGAAAATGAGATACTTTGTTTCATAGAATAATTCAGAAACAGTGATCAAACGAATGATGATGATTCAAGTTCCTATAACACTTTTTTCAGAATTCAATATTAACAGAGTTACATAACCTTAAAGTTATTTGTTAAAATTAACATTTTAACGTAATTATTTGACAGTTAACAGATTGCACCTACGAAAAATATTAATCAAAATAATTCTGAAGCCGTAAAGGGCCTAACTATATTTTTTAATTAAACGTCTTAATATTAACGATCATAAAAAAGATGTCCTTGTCCTAATAGTCGATAGCATCAAACGTTCGCGGAAAAGGACTAATTTAGTTGTTTTGGAGCACTCAAAACAAATTTATTGTCTATAATTATTTGGGGCAATTTTTATTTAATTGGGGATTACCTCGAAGTGAAATATATACTTAGGTATTTCGGATACAAACAAAGCTGGATTACATACAAAAATTATCATTAATTCTAAGCATTATAATCTGCCAAATCTTCTTTAATTACATCGATTAATTTGTAAAAATATTAGTTATAATTGATTGGAATTTGGACAGCAAACGTGATGCTTTGAACAAGAGAAGAGAACTTTTTTGTAAAATTGTAAACGCTAGTCAAAAAGGACAGTCCTTATTCAGCCCTTTAAAATTTTATTGATTTTTCCAAGGAACACAGTTTGTTACCAATAAATAAGTGCACCAAATTTAAAAGATATCACTCAACTGAAAAAACTTAGGGCAAAACAACAATTACAATAATAAAATAATAAATAAAATTTAAAAATCTTTAGTATATTAAAATTTTTGATATCGGAGAACATTGACTTCTTTCGACGGAATTTTCTTCATGAATTTTTTTTAAATTTATTTGAATTTCCTAACATAATCTCTTTACAATAATGTAGAAATGCGAGAACTGACAATAAAATACACAGGGTGTTTGATAAAGAATAGGCCAAACTTTACTATAATGACGAAAATTAATGGGGATAGATCAAATAGAAAGTCGATAGATACTTCGCTTCCAAGATACAGACAAGGTGCTGAAGTTAGCACTGTTGTCTAATTCTAAATAAATACATCTAGTGGTATGTAGATTTCATTATAGGACACCTTTTTTTAATAAGTAATATGCTCCCGACAAAAAATTAAAAAAAAATGCCATATCTCCATACATTTTATTGTAGAAAATGTACTTTTATCCTATATCCATAAAATGCACTTCAACATTTTGAAGAAGTACCCGAAAAGATAAACAAAAAGTACCTGTATCTCGAGCTGGATTATTAAGATAAACTCAACCGCGAAAACTACATAAAATACACATAAACAGTTTGTTCCAAGGTAATAAAATCAAATAGATAATAAAATGAATAATACAAAATATCAATAATTAAATTTTTAAATAATATTTTCAAAATATCCTCCCTTAAATTCACCGCATTTGTGGTACTTCATTACAAAATTTTGAAGAACTTTAAAAAATTGATGACGTGAATTTTTGATCTGGGTAGCAACTTCTGCTACTCGTAGTTCATGCTCTGTATTAACGGTTTTCGAATACATATATATCCGGAAAAAAGTCCAATGGATTTAAGTTTGGACTTCGTGATGGCCACGGAAATCGACCTCCGTTCTCAATTCAACAATTCGAATGTTCATTATTTAAAAAATTTCTTACCCTGTAAGAGGGTAGTGAGCAGGTACACCGTCATGTAAAAATCAAATGATTAAGGGAATCTTTTCGAATAAGATTGGCAATTTATTCTGAAAAAAAATTAGGTATTTTTCTCGATTTAATCTTACTGATAGGTCAAATGGAACCAACGAGCTGGTCCACAACTAATCCGCACCAAATATTTATTTTAAATTCATGCTGTAATTGTTTTACTTTTGTAGCTTTTGGGTTTTCTTCATTCTGTATTTGATTATTTTTGTTACTAAATTCTCCTTGTAATAAATATTGCTTCGTCGGTAAAAAAAGTTATTAACTGTCTTGCCAAAATAAATTAAGTTTATTTTCAACTTCAAGACCCTGTATTTTGGAAACCAAGTGTCTACCGACAAATTTGTAATCCCACTAACTTTCTCGTTTAACCTAGTGGCAAAGTTTGGTCCATTCTTTAGCGAACACCCAGTACATTAAAAAATTATCCTCCTTAATCTCAAAGCGACAATAAAAGCAATATAGATACATGTATCACCAGATTAACTATTTTTTTATATGCATTGAACTTAGTTTACGTATAGGTACCCTAATACTAATCTGAAACATGTCTAACTCACTTGCTGAAGATATTATTTGAACCAAAAAATAAACATCTAAATTTTAAAAATGATTATGCATCCTATCACTGAAATTAATCAAATTATTCTTTTATATCCTAATGGTATTAAATAATAGTACCTAATAATAATATTTGTCTATACTAATCTAAATTGTAATAAAGAGTATTTCTTTGCATGTAAAATAAAAGTAGTTTAAGCTATTCATAGACAATCATGTACCTTAATTTATAGTTATTTATGGTACTAGTGTGTTACAGTTCTAAATTGTCTCTGTAACCAAGGGTTGTCAGTAAACAAACAATATTTTTTGAGTTGAAATCGCGTTGAAATCCTAAAACCAAGACTAAAAAAATGGAAAATGTGGAAATTCCATCTGAAATTTTAGAAAAAACTAATGCGGCTACTGCAGGCATCATCAGTCTGAAAAGTCTTTTCCGGTATGACATTCAATGCTTTCGTCGATTTTGCTTTTATTTCCTCGATCGAGTCGAAAGGTGTCCACGGAGTGGTCTTTTGAGTTTAGGGAATAGCCAGAAGTCACTCGGTGCTAAATCAAGTGAATACGATGGTGCAGAACGATATGAGTTGAAATAGTCTCGAAATATTTATGTTGTATGAGCCGGTACATTATCATGATGCAAAAGAGTTTGACCACTTGTAAACATTTTTTTGCGATATAACTAAAGGACTTCTGTAAAATCCTCAACGTTTCCGCGGCAGAATATTTATTCCGCAAACAAAATTTAACGCAAATTCTTTATTCAACAAAATCAGACATAGTGAAACTCGATTTTTCAATACACAATATACTTTCTGATAAAATACCTGATTCCTTCTTATTTAGTCTGAAAGTTATAGCATATTATTAAAAAATCCCTCATTCACAGATAATTTTATGGAGGTGTTTATGCTACAGTCATGTAGGTTGTAGCATAAACACCTCCTAAGCCGATATTGAAGCAGCGACTTGTACAAAAGCATAATAGATAGAACTTACCTATACATTTATTTGAATTTATGTATCTAAGTCCCTTAAGTCCTTTTAAAATATTATGAGTCAAGTTAAACCGGATATAAAAAGCTTACAGAAGAATTATACTGTATCTACGAAGTTTATTTACGATAATAATTTATTAATTAATGATATCTTAGACTTAGATACATTTATAACCATTTGTTAAACCAGAACTGGAAATAAAGCGTCTATCGAGATTACAACAGACTTTTCTATAATAAATAAATTTTATTGATTTAATGATTGATTTGCTAATTGTCAAAATAACATTAAAACTATCTACATTTTCGCGCCAATATTATAACTATTTAAAGCGCAAATCTAACACTGTAGAGGACACCCTCAGACCATGATAGTCAAGATTTTCCTTGTTTTCTCAACGATACTCCTTTCCTCTGCCTTACCAGGTAGAAAAGGGGAGTTATTGTCTTTGATACAGGTGAGTCAATTTTCTTCATAAACTTCTTCCGAAAAACATAACAGAGTAGTAATTTGTAGAAAATGAAAAGACGAATCCGAAAATATCATGATTGTTACCGTAAAGCAGTGGCGTACTATTTTATTGAGAAAAATGGGCTACCGGTACCCTGTCTCTCCGCCACTGGAGCATCTAAATTTTAAGAAAAGGCCTCAGATTTTGGACAATCTGTACAGGTATTTAAAATTAAAAATATTTTTTTGTTTAACACCCGGTATCTTTTTAACGAAGCGTCCTAGATAAAAACTTTATACGAAAGACCTCCGTTAAAATTCACCAAAGAACGCGAGGTTTAATTTTTGGTCACCGTTTATGAATCCCCCTGTATAAGAATTGTTATTCTTTTAAATGTTTGCCAAAGAAAATATATTTAATTTCGCATAAAACGATGGTTTTTCTTTAAAAATCTTTATCTACATTCTTCATAATGATGTTCATTTAAAAACAGTATATTTTGTATCAGTCAACTGCATTAGGTTTGAAATTGGTACATGTATCTAATTACCTTGGTCATATCAATTCACCCCGATCTACAGTGTGACCTTGTGACCTTAAAGTCCAAAAAGGGACTCAACTTTTGATATAATTACGATTCATATTTGTCGAAAATTTTCTGAGATATGGTTGTGTGAATTTGAAACTTTTATCAAGTAACTCCGTTTTACGATACGCCAAATATATTTTTTAAAGACATTTTGTATTATAAAACGTAATTTAGAAGGCCACAGGCGTACGTATGAAAAAAATATAACTTTCTTACATATTTGCATTCAAATAAGTAAAAACTGATAGGTGACAAATAAGAAGTTTCTGTTTGAATAAAGGTGATTTCGAAAATCTATATTCTATTCCCCTTTGAATGGGGTATTTTAACAATTACCATACTAACATTTGACTAGAAAAAACTTATATCTAGTTTAATTTGCTATCATAGTCCGTCCTATTCATTTCATGTTATAAAATAGACGATTTCTAAAGGTTTATAGACATGGTGAGAGAAGTCCAATTGTGTTCTTCCCAACTGATCCATATCAAGACGCCAGTTATTGGAATACTGGGTTTGGACAGCTAACTAACGTAAGTACACTGAAAAAAAAATACATCTCAGTCTGTAAATGCATTCAAGATAGATAAAAAATCCAATTAATATACGATTCCCTTATTTTTCGCCGCCAATTTACATCTGCGCTGATAGTGGTATTATTGAGCAGTGATTATAATTGTTTTATTATAGGTATATTGTTTTTTATAGTACAACCATTTTTATAAATCAATTATGATGATCATAATAAGTTATTGTAAAATTATCAGTACTGCGTTTCTCCATTTATGGCACTAAGTTATGAAACAATTGCATTTTAACAAAACATTTAGTTGAACATTCTTGTTAGTATTTTATTTTGTCACCACACTCATAACATACTTTAATTTATAATTTATTTCGGTCGATAGCCGCACGGGTTAAGGCGTCAGTCCTTTAATCGTTTGCAAATTTCTGCCCGGGTTCGATTCCCGCTGCCGGGACACCGTAGTTTAGCTATGCTTGAACGGAGAATTGGCACCCTCTGTGCGGTTATGGTAGGGTGGAAGAATGTTGGCTTGGGTCAATGTGAGAGATTGACACCGGTTGGCATTTGACCACCCCCCTAATTAATGAGGTTTTCCAGGTTTCCCTCATTCATGCACTGAATGGTGGTTAGGGCCTACCAACATAAGTCGTTCCTGGGCGCAAAAGCGGCCTGCCTAATAATAATATGCCGCCTCCTCTCCCGCGCAAGTCTCCGACTTATGGGCTAATTATCGTAATTAGAATGAGGAGTAGAGATATTATTATTATTATTTCATGGCTACTTTTATAGAATCTTTGATGTCTAATAATTCGGAAACAGAGCAAAAATTTTAATTTACATTTTTTGTCCATCTTCACAGTTTGGTAACTACCATTCTACGAAATCATCTAATCATCATCATCAATTCTCTTCCTCTTTTGTCACTTTCTATACAATAATCTTTTTCTTCAGACTGGTAAGTTGCAACATTACAAGCTGGGACAGTACACACGCTCGAGATATAGAAACTTTATACCGAAATACTATTCCAATGAGTTTTTCCGTGTCCAAACAACAAACAAGGATCGAACCTTCATGTCAGCGGCATCCAACCTTGCAGGACTTTTCCCACCGGTTGGTTACCAAGTGTGGAAACAAGGTCTTCAATGGCAACCGATCCCAGTCTTTCCAGTCACCGAAGCTGTATTGAGTGATTATTCCAACTGCGACGCTTACAACACGGCTATCTCGCAACTGTCCACCACTGACGAATACTTCGTGAGTCTTTCGGAGGAGAACCAAGAACTTATGGCATATCTAAGTGAGCACACAGGAAGCAACATCACTAGTCTCAGTGACATTGTAATGATATGGGACTCCTTGCAAATTGAATATCTTCGAGGTTACACCTTACCCGAATGGACCCAGTCCGTTTTTCCGGAACCACTCACGAGTCTGGTATCGTCTCTGTATTTGGCAAGCAGTTACACTGAAGAACTAAAGATTTTCAGTAAGTTATACCAAGTATTTTCGAGTATCGTGGTTTTAATTATTTTTTGTTTTATTTAGCCACTGGACCGTTCATCAACGCGCTCATAGAGCACTTCGAAGGGATTTTGGCAAATTCTACAGATCCACCATATTTGCAGTACAGTGGTCATGATATCAATCTAGCGTGCATTTTAAATACTTTGGGAGCGTACCCATCTGCCGTCCCAGGTTTTGCTAGTACCATTTATTTTGAGTTGCGACAAACAAGGAGGATGAATTATATTAACATCTACTACATCAAAGTTTCTGGCGCTGAACCCGAACCCATTACTTTGTCCGGCTGTGGGTTTAACTGCGATTTGCGGGATTTTAAGAGTATTTTGAGCAATCGCACTATTACCCCCGATGAATGGACTGAGCTTTGTAGCGCATAACATAATTCGTTATTTTAAATATGTCATTTTAATATAGGTATTTCAAATGTTAAAAGTAATTTACTAAAGCACTACAGTTGCTTTTGCAGACATCTTCTTTCCACGTTAGTAAAATAAATACAAATTATTTTCAAAATTTATTTATGTTAATTAATGACGTTATACATAGATGCAAACAATTAACTGTAATAGATTTGTAATTGCAAAACTAAATATATTATTATGTACATGTTTATAATAAATAAATGTTGTTCAAGAAAGAAAGTTGTCCCTTTACTTAAAACAAACGACCCATCAAATTTAATGAACTATCGCCCTTTAACTATACCTACAGTTTTTTATAAAATGTTTGAATATCGTTTTTTGGATCAATTTGAAATATTTATTGCCTCACAAATATTTTCAAGTAATCAACATGGTTTTTGTTATAAAAGATCTACTATGACATCAATACATTCATTTTATAACTATCTCACTACTATGATCAACACGAGTGAATGTCCCGATGGGTTTTTTTGTGGGCATTTGACTGCGTTGATCGCGATAAACTACTTAATAAATTGATGGTGCTGTTCTGACATGGATTAGTTCACTTTTAAAAGATCGAAATATGTAAACCTCAAATGCAATAATAATAACACAAAGTCTATGTTTTGACATTGAAGTTCCACAAGGTTCAGTATTGGGACCGATATTGTTTCTATTATATATAAATGGTCTAAATAAGTCGGTATCTAATACCTGTTTTACAATTTTAGCAGACGACACACCGATTTTAACCTCGCGTAAATCAGATAATCATTTAAAAAGTCAGTGTTACAACGTATTAAGTAAAATATACACGCATCCTAGTTGGCCGTATATTGCATTAATAAAAACAGCAGTATCACAATTAGATAGGTTTTTTACCCTACATTTAAAAAAAAAATTTAAATCGGCCAAAAAATAAAGAAGAACAAGGCTTGTATCATATTTAAGCGCGACACCCTGTATATGAGTTATGTATTTATATATTTCAAAACCGTAACAAATTCCCTTTGAAATTAAATATACGTGATAAAGATACCAGGCAGAAATATAATTTTCATGTACCTTTTAAAAAATATAACTTAGAAATGTCCAGATTGTATAGGCTTAAGAACATATAAAAAGTGCCAGTACCCTTAAACGTTTTGAAGAATGTCTAGAATATTTCTTAATTATTGTGTTAGTGACTACATTAAATAATAATTTGTATTATACTTAAATGTGTTAATGTTACATGATTGCTATCTATGTGTTTTATTTGTAATGTTATGTTGACTTAATCCTATATACAATTTTGTATTGTCTAAAGGAAATAAAGCTTCCTATTCAATTATAAGATAAAATAGAAGTATTATTATATCATTATTTATTTTTTGCTCACTAATTTGCGAATAACTTGATAACAAAAAAATATATCGAACCCTTTTTGGTTCAAAATGTAGCTATTTTTATGCTCTTCAAACTAACCTATAAAAAGTGTTGTCCCCTTTTTTAAGAAAACGTGACACAACCTAAACTTGGATAAACAGCGCCAGTAAATAAACAACACTTTCGTAAGAAATTTCAAACGTGCTGAATTCATTTATGTAAAAAAAACTATAGCTTTGCATTCAAAATTTTTGAGAAAAATCCATAAACCGGAATTCTTTTGAAATAACGCCATCACGAGATAAAACATGAAAAGACCTTTCCAACGAGGTATAACACTATGGATTTTTGATCAGCCAATCCTTAAAAAGAATGCATTTTCTGATCAGATACTAGGGGCTTCCCCCACCCTTTCTGTCGAGAGATAGAACAAAATGTCAATAACAAAAGTTATGCGCAATGAATCCGATTTTCCATATTTGTACTATTTAATACACCTGAATAGGAAACATTTCTGAGAAAAATGTAACTCTTGTTTTTGTATGTAGATTGCGCCCCCTAGCGGCCGAGCTACGAACTTAGAAACTATTTTCAGCGATTTCTCTTGGTCGATTTATTAATCAAAATTTTTTTCCCGAAGCTCTAAGGCCTATACTTTCTCTGATATCGTACTTCGCCGATTTTAGTGGAACACTATACTATTGCAAATAAATATTACGAAATGTTGAGTTAACTCACAATTCTGTCATTTTATTATTCTTCTTGGTCTTTAGGTATAAAAGTCAGATTTATCAAGAAGATAATACTTCTTCGAAATTTAATGATTTCAGTAGAAGTTTCCAGCGGAGTTCAGGTAAAGTATTAGCCTATTAAGGAAGAGTAATTCCTCGAATTTTCAGATCTCTCAATAAAATGCAAGCCCTGTCATGCATCAGCTATTTTACTCTGAAATTCCATCTAATAAAACGTATTTTATTTTATGTCTTCTCGATATTATCCTTTGAAGGAGCTTATCTGACTGCTTTCACGGTAATACTCTCATAAAATTCCTTGTGTAAGACCCTATTAGCTTTCAAATAGATTAACAAGAAAATCCACCTAAATGAGGAGCGAGCTGATTATTTGCAAGACCGCTTTCTGAATAATCCGCGAGTGTTAAGTAACACTTTTTACTCCCCGAAAATATCAATTCCTGCGATTCCATCTAAATTAAAGCCGAACGTGATCCGGATAGATAAAGTCCTTTTAAATCTCAATAAGTCCGCGCAGCTTCGTAGTTGGGTTCATCTAATTTATATAGATCCGGAGCTTACTTCTGCCAATGGACGAGAATCCGGGCGGTAATACAGATCCGTCCTTTTAATTGTATCCTGGTGGAAGTCGAAGACTTGTTCGGAAGAAGGCGCGGCGAAGTAGTATTCTGTTCTTATCAATTCTAATACGAAGTGATTTGCTCACAATTGTGAAAAAGATGATACAATATTATCCTGTAGCCTATATTGGCAAATCTAAAGCGGTATAAAAAGTATATACAGGGATGGCCAGAAGTACGGAATAAAATTAATATCTTTCGAATGAGTAATTTTTTTTTAAAACGCCGGTTATTACAGTATCAGACAATGGAGAATTGTATATCTGAACATTTAGTTTAAAACATTATTTCTGATAATTATGAAATCTAATATAAGATGTTTTTGAGGGAATAAAATATAATGAGTGAGAGCCATACCAATTGCTAACTTTATTTAGGACCGAGTTGCATTTGAGTGCCAGTGCGTCATCAGTTTTATCAGATACAATTAGCGACGTATCGTCAGCATACATAACTGGGAATGCAGCGGAGATTAAGGTATCAAGTTCACTCGTGTACAACACAAATAATACAGGTCCCAATATCGAGCCCTGTGGCACACCCATACCCACTTCCCTGTATCCTGAATTTATTCTTTGAACGGTACCAACTGAGGAACAAGAAATACTTACATATTGTGTTCGATTTTTGAGAAATGAAGAGATCCATTCATAGGCCACCCCCCGTATACCATAGCCATCTAGCTTTTTAATAATTTTTCATGATTCACACAGTCGAATGCCCTGCTGAGATCACAGAAAATCCCAACAGGGCACTCGCCTGCCTCCATAAGCTCAATAACCCTTTCACAAAACGAGTGTAAAGCGGTTGTGGTTGATTTACCCGCACAGAACCCATGTTGTTTATCTGTAACAATTCATCTTTAGAAGGGCTATATTTTTATACTATAAAATATAGAACGTTCTATTTAAAAAAAAATGTAAGTAATAATCTGTCAAACATGGCTCAAAAAAATAGAAGATATAATAATATTGATATTTCTATAAAATAGAAAAGTGACAATTTCTATTTACTAATTGACCTGTTTAGGCGATTTTTTATAATCTGAACTGGAAAAAAAATATGAATTTTGGTTCATTATTTTGGGACACAGTGTATACAAGGTGTTTTGCATAAGAACAGACACAGAGCAGGAGCATGTAGAGGAATCCAAAATAAGGTGATTTTACACAACTTACGTTACTAAACTGCATCTCCGAGAAGTTGTAAGCTTTGAAAGTGAGGTTTCAAATTGCGAAAAAAATCAATATACTTGAACTTAGAAAAACCAAATTTGGTGCACGGTGTGAGTGTACCAAGAGCATTAATCGATAGTAAGTAGAGTTCAATTGAAGCATTTTGAAGGGCTGATAAGACATGATGCACCATTAAAATGTGACACAATTTTTTAACCCTTTGGCGGACTAAAAAAATTGGTTTTCTATTAAATTTTTCTTATTCCAACTTTTTTTTTCCAGATCGTCAAGTTTGACGTTTAAATTCATAGCCAACTTTTGAATTTTCGATAATTTTGAATAATACAGCTATAATACGTATTACCTATTTGTTATTTTGGTTTTGTTTATTTTTCCATTAAAAATTGTATTTGCTGTGTTTACTTTATCCTGAATAGAATTTTCGATATATTCTTCCGCCATTGTAGAAGATTTCCATCCCCATCTGCCCATCTGTCAGTAATGTGTCACTGATTCTCTACATATTTAGTCTGAAAGGGGTTGCATATTGCATAATATTAAACGATATCTCTATCATTCATTGTTGGACAATTTCAAGGAAGTGTTTATGCTAGTCATGTAGGTTGTAGCATAAGCACCTCCTAGGCCGATGATCCCATATTAAAGCAATAAACTTGTAGAAACACATAATAAGTAAAAGTTATGTATTTAGTATACAGTATTCATTTAAATATATATACCTAAGTCCCTTTAAGTCTTTTTCAAATATGATGAGTGAAGTTAAACCGGATATAAAAAGCTTATTGATAAATTATTATGTATCTACGAAGATTATTTACAACAATAATTTATTAATTAATGACATCTTAGTCTTAGATAACTACATTTATAACAATTTTTTAAACCAGAACTAAAATATTTATTAAGATTACATTCCACAATAAATAAATTTTATTGATTTAATCACTGATTTGCTAATGGTCAAAATAACATTAGATCATATCTACGTTTACGCCCCAATAATATCGCTATTTAAAGCGAAAATCCTACACTTTACATGCACTCTCAGACCATGATAGTCAAGATTTTCTTTGTTCTCTCAACAATTCTCCTTTCCTCCGCCTTTGCAGGCAGAAAAGGGGAGTTGGTGTCCCTCATACAGGTAAGTCAGTTTTATTAAATTATTTACTTTTTTTATTATTAGTTACCATTTTGATACTTAAATTATTAATATTCTTTTGTAACATGAATGTTATCTCAAAGAAACGTTCATTAAATTAAAAAATTAGTTCTCCTAAAAATTGGGAATATTTAAAATGGCAAATGGAAATTTAAAAATATTTATATCTAAATAGAATCATAATAAAGGATAGGTATACTAAACCAAAATTATGCACCTTTATGTAAAACATAAAGAAAAAGGTTAGCTTATATTCTCTAATACAAAATTTCTTTATAAACTGCTTCCGACAGGTGATACAGCTGTTATAGTCCGGGAGAATTAGGTTTTTTTTCAAAAATCGGACCTAACTCGAATATTATAGGCTTAAGATTAAGTAAAAACTACACAGAATAAAAGCCTAAATTTATGTATTTATAGAGGTCAACTGTCATATTGTTTATAACAAAAGAAAAAAATTGCTCTTTTTTCAGTTTTTCGCTTATATCTCCGAAAATAAGCCTCTAACCGACATGAGGTATACTTGTCGATTTTGTTCCTGAGGAAATTTGCTACAAGAATAGGCTTTTGCGAAAGCTCGCAATTTTTTTTTTACATTAATAAAAGATACATACAAAAAAGAGCAATTATTTTTTTTTCTTTTGTTATAAACAATATGACGCTCGACCTCTACAAATTCGCAAATTTAGACTTTTATTCTGTGTATTTTTTACTTAATTTTAATAAATGTTTGAAACAAACACGTGTTTTGTCTAATTCACCCGTGTTATTACAAAAATATTAAACAAAGCCCATCTTTGAGACAAATTTGTAACAGCCCGATCATCTTTCACAGCAATTTATGTGTAGAATCGCTACTCAAAACATAAAGAAACATTTTAACACCCCAAAATAATATTTTGTACTTTCTTACTTATGTAACCAATGTATTACACTCAAAAAAATAAAAACTTGTACCAAATAAGAGGTCTGTGTTTAAATATACACGATTCCTTTAAATTTCAATTCAACACACTGTATCCCGAATACTAAATTGTCGAAAATCTCTTTTCTCTTCCTCTTTGAATGAGATCAACTACTAAAGTATGACAAATACTTCTATCTAATTTAATCACTGATGCAGAGTTATTCATTTCTTCTTATAAAATTCAACGAACGAATTCAACAGGTTTATAGACATGGTCAAAGAAGTCCAATTAAGTTCTACCCAAATGATCCATATCAAGATATCAGTTATTGGAATGTTACGGTTGGGCAGCTAACTAACGTAAGTACAGTAAAAAAATACATTCTAAGCTGCAAAGAGTCCTTAGTATTAGTCTATTAGAAAAATTGTGGAACTTGTACAGAGTGATATTCTAGCAAAAAAAACTTTTTTACGAGAAATAAATGATTTATAAAAAAAGTATGTGATAATTGAAGAGACATATTAAGATTGTTTTCAAGTTTATTGGATGAAATTACCGAACGATTATTATGTTAAACATGTAGCGAGATCACCTGGCTTGAATCCTTTGGATTATTTTGTACGAAAACATTTAAAACAATTGGTTTACGCAGTGGAAACTGATAACCATGGACAATTAATGGATAGAGTAATGTATACAGCCTAATACATTCAAAATAGCAAAAATAATTCAATTAAAACAGGATTTACGCATTTTTAAGCAGTGGTTATAATGGTTTTATTAAATTTATTCATTTTTGTATAATTAATAATATGTTCGTCTTTATAAATCAGTAATGATTACATGAATACCATAATAAATTGTTCCTTATGAAACATTTGCATTTTAACAAAAAATTTAATTGAAAATTCTTATTAAAGTTTTATTCTGTCACCAACATTTATTTCATTACTACAATTGCAGAATCTTTGATGTCTAATAACTACCTAACTACCGACAAAAATTGTATTACAAAATATTTGCTTATCTATCTTCACAATTTAACCATCTAGTCGCCATCATAATTTTTCCTCTTTTATCACGTTGATGCATACATTTATAATCTTCTTTTTCTTCAGACTGGTAAATTGCAACATTACAAGCTGGGGCAGTACACGCGCAGGAGATATAGCGATTTTATACCGAAATACTATTCCAATGAATTTTTCCGTGTTCAATCAACAGTTGTGAATCGAACCTTCATGTCAGCGGCATCCAACGTTGCAGGACTTTTCCCACCTGTTGGTTACCAAGTGTGGAACCAAGATCTTCAATGGCAGCCGATCCCAGTCTTTCCAATCACCGATGGTGTATTGATCGGTTCTACAACTTGCAACGCTTACAGCACGGCTTCCTCGGAAGTGTTAACCAGTGACGAATACTTCGTGAGTGCTTTGGAGGAAAACCAAGACCTTTTGGCATATCTAAGTGAGCATACAGGAAACAATGTCACCAGTTTATCTGGCATTTTTATGATATGGGACGCCTTGGAAATCGAATATCTTCGAGGTTACACCTTACCCGAGTGGACCGAGTCAGTTTTTCCAGAACCACTTACGAGTCTGGCATCACTGTCGTTTTTGGCCAACAGTTACACTGAAGAGCTAAAGATCCTCTGTAAGTTATGGCGTTTATTTTCGAGTCTTGTAGTTTTAATTATTTTTTATTTTATTTAGGCACCGGGCCGTTCTTCAACGAGCTCATAGAACACTTCGAAGGGATTTTGGCAAATTCTACAGATCCACCATATTTGCAGTTCAGTGGTCATGATACTAACCTAGCGGCCATTTTAGATTCTTTGGGAGCGTCCCCATCTTCCGTTCCAGGTTTTGCTAGTACCATTTATTTTGAATTGCGACAAACAAGGAGGAGGGATTATATTAACATCTACTACATCGATGTTTCTGGTGGGGAACCTGAACCCATCACTTTAGCCGGTTGTGGATTTGACTGCGATTTGCAGGATTTTAAGAGTATTTTGAGCAATCGCACTATTACCACCGACGAATGGGCTGAACTTTGTAACGCATAACATAATTCCTTATTTTAAATATGTCATTTTAATATATTTTAAATGTAACAGTAATTTAAATTATTTTATATAGATGCAAACAATCACACATTTGTCTTTCTTTAACACATTTATAATTGCAGAACTAAATATATTATTATGTACATGTTTATAAGAAATGTTATTCATGATGCAATAAAAGTATTAGCAATATGACTTTGTTCCTCTTCAACACACTCCTTTATAAATGTTTCTGTGACTGTAGGCAAATTTCAACTTATTTGACGTCGAATGTATTTACGCAAAACAGATTAACTGTCCGATCTCTGTACTGAATAATATAAAATTGGAATTTGGCATTGCTTTGAGAGAAGGGTATTTCTGACAAATCTCTCTGATCGGAACTGCATATACAATAATTATCGTTCAAAACGAAAAAGAATGGTGTTATCGCCATCTACTGGTATTATAGTCCAATTAAATGGGCCTTTAACTCGCAATTTGGTCGACTTCAATTTTTAAGTAGTTTTGGATCAACATATGTTTGCGAAAAGTTTTTTTCAAATCTTAATTATGTAAAAAATAAATACCGCACATCTCTAACTGAGCAACATATAATATATCCGATGTGTTGTTACTGTCGACATCTGACCTGGCGTCTAACATAGGAAAATTATTAAAACAAAAACAAAGTCAGAAATCACATTGATTGTACCAATTACTTGGATTTAGGTTTGTGTTACATGAAATTTTGTTTCTTTGTTTGGCAGTAGATGTTACTTATCTTATTATTTTAATAAACGACAATTAATTTTCAAAATGTTGATTTTTTATTGCACAAAACAAGACTTTAAAGTTAAAGTTTAAATAAAGCTTAGGTAACAAAAATAGGAACCGTCAGTAGTCGGTGATTTTTAAATTGTCAGTTTCGCCCAACTGTTAAATAGGTTATGAAGCCCTGTTGTAGAGCATAAAATTCTACATAAAAATGCTCTATTGACTTTTTCTTGTACTATTAAAATTAACAGAGTTAGGGTGGCTAGAAGTTAAGGGATGATTTCAGAAATTTAAAAGAATCATAACAAGCAGAAAAATGAGTGAATTTTATAATTCTTTTTATTAATCTACTCTAAATAATTTAGTGTACATGTGAAATGGTGACCATTGGCTCAAGCATGCCTTATCCGAAAGTTTCGGAAATACAGGGTGTTGAAAGTTAAAATTTTAAATATGTAGTTTTTTGCGATTATTCTGAAAATATGTGAGTTAGGAACTTGAAAATTTTTGAAACTACGTTTTTTTAAGCGACAAATAAGATGCTTATTGCAATTTCAGCGTTCAGAGACGGCGCTACTTACGACTAATTCTACGGAAAATTTAATTAATAACTTTTTACCCTGTATGTCTAACATGAAACTTGATTCAAAACCTGAAACAGCCATCATTTCTCCATTAATTATGGATTCTTGTTTCATTTCGGTATCTCGATCACTATGTTTCTTCATGTTATTACAACAATTAACAATAAAACAAATGAAATACGTAATAATGATTAAAAGTAATTGTTCGAAGAATCCACCGTTGACATTGATACACTTTACACAACATTTTCTGAGAGATCTCAGAGTTTGAAACAACATGTTGGGATTGCGTCTGACTTCGTTGACAGCGATTTGTATTCTTTGCCACGACTCTTCACGCGAACCAACAGATTCGCGACCCACAATTAAACTCACTTAAAAAATCGTCCCTTAAAGTTTTTACACGTAGTAAATTAACACCCTATATTTTTATAATATTCAAATAACGCTTTTGTTTTGTTTCATTCCCTACATTTGACAAAGGTGACAATAGACATAAGTATGAATCTACAATCCGTTTACTGCATTTCAGTGTTACAAAGTGAGTGAACGGCAATACTATGAAAATGAAGAGATGGGGTCCCAAGCGCACTAGCTTCCGGGAACCCTGGCCAAACGAAGATTACCTTCAAGAGTATGAAGAAAAAAGAGGAAGGTAGAGGTCTTTTAATATCTCATGAGCCGCGAAATGCGCGAAAGGCGTGGCGTATCCCCATAATTCTTCTAATAAGCACGTTGTGAAAACATTGACTCAGAACTAGACCATGTGCATCATTACAAGTAGACATGAACTAAGGCGCTCGGGCATCAATAAAGTCAACTGGCGAACGTTCGTTATATATATTTTTATTGTTTAAATTAAAATAATAAAGAATAGGGCATTTTATTATGATATTTGTAATCGGATCAAAGGCTTGTTTACGCTCTAGAGCTCGAGAGAGACTGTGAATAATAGCTGTAATGCATATGAAGGTCAAAGCTCATAAGATTTTAAAACATCTCTACTTATTGCATGAAGCCTCGAGTTCACTTCCGGTGCGTTGGTTGTTGGACTGGAGCTCGAATACTGGACGGAGTATTGGCTGATATGGGAATCGGCAACAGAAAATTAGTTGCCTCTCGCACTAGGAATAATTATATACATCAGAGAAAGCATGTGTACTAGAGCATTTCTTTGTGTCGACTGAGGCAAAATTAGAACCTTAGGGATGAAGAGGAGTTTTAACTGTAGGATAGTGAAAGTAAACAGTCGACATACATGTATACACACTGAGAGAAATTCCGGTTTATTACTGGTTTATTAAGTTAATCCACACTTACACTAAGTGAGTCTTAATTTCTAAAATAAAAGGTAACTACGCTCAACTGAATAAATTCCAAGTAAGTTCAGTCAGTTGCAAGAGCAAAGCAACTCACTCAGATCGACAATTATTGAAGAAAATATAGTCTAAATGAGCTATTAAATAGGGTTGCTGTGGTAACAAAGACGTTTCAGCAAAACATATTTACTTATGGCAACATTATTTTTCTGTTGACCTTGCAAGTATTTTACTAACAGAAGCTAAAATCCTAGCAAAGTGCCTTACTTGGATGTAATACCGTGCTTCAAATTTTATCTAGTAGAATCTATCTGAACCTAAATGGATTTTAATCCTTTATCGTTTGTATATACTTCATTTTTCTTCAAAAATCGGATATCGTAATTTTAGTATGTTTAATATCATTTCGATAAAGTTGTAGTAATTTGATAAATTTGTATTTTATTTATACACATTAATTTTCATCGTATAATCTTGTGGTAAAGTCTATCCCATTTTTTTAGCAGACACCTTGTATATTTAAAAAAAAATCATCATTCTTGACGTCAAAGCTGCAATAAAAGCAATGTATAACCTGATTAAATCACTAGGTATTGATATATAAACCATTGTTAATTATTTTTATTAATTTGTGCATTGGAATTCGGTCATAGGTATCCTAATATTATGCAACATATTAAACTTAATCGCTAAAGATAATACTTGGACCAAGAAATAAATATCAAAATTTTTGAAATGATAATTCATCCTGTCACTGAAGTCATCTTTTATATTTTTAATGTTTGATAAAGCTATCCTATAAACGATAATCATTGGTATGGATGTATTATTATAAATAGATACAAGAATGCCATTGTTGTAACAAAACGTTATCTTCTTTTAGTTATTACAATATCTCTATCATTTATTGATGTACAATTTCAAGGGGGTGTCCTAAGCCGATGATCCCATATTGAAGCAAGCAATGACTTGTACTAAATGCCTTATAAAAAGAAATTTTTAAGTATTTAAGTCTCTTTTTCAGATATGTATGATGATTCAAATTAAAGTCTAAGTCTATGCATAACAGATAATAAATCGCTTATTGAGATTACAACAGACTTTTCTATAATAAAATAATTTTATTGATTTAATGATATATTTTTTTTGATTGCCAAAAATAACACTAAAGCTTATCAAAGTTCACGCGGCAATACTATTGCCATTTAAAGCGAAAATTTAACTTTTCAGTAGACTCTTATAGTCCAATTAAATAAGCCTTTAAATCGAAATTTTGCTCAACTTGCCTGAATTTTTGATATGAGTTAGTTTGAGGTAGGTATGTTATAACAATAAGTGACAGTATTTTTTTGTTCAACCCCCGGCCAAAGGTGAAAAAAGATAAAACAAAGGAGTTTTTCAAGATAACTCAAAAAGGGCAAGGGCTAGAAAAAAAGTTATAAAAGTTGTAAAGCATACAATTCTACATAAAAATGGCATCGTACCTAAAGTTTTACGCCAACATTTAAATCTGGAAATTATTCTTAAAATATCGGAAAAATAAAAGACTTTAACACCCTGTATATCCCTGTTTATAGGCAAAAAAACTTATTTTGACCTCAAAAATACACTCCTAAATTCTTTGTATTAAATTTTGAATCAGCCTTTATACCTAGGAGAATATATGAACAACACATTACTAGCATTTTTATTTAATTCTAGCATCTTAATATTAATTTTTAAAAATATGTATTTTATTATTAGGTCTTATAATTTTATTTTGACTTTATTTTTTTAAAACTCTTAAGCTAATTCAAATAAATTCAAAAATGATATGCCTGATATAAATTTATTAATTATTATCAATTCATATTGAAATTATTAAACAATGTACTCTTTCATAGAATTATCTTGTTTTCTAGAATTATCTTGTGTTCTTGTTGTTTTAACATCATCACTGACAAAGACCAACAAGCAAAATTAGCTATTTAGGAAGGCTTTTTCAAGCAACATCTTTGAATTGTTTTTTATCTAGCCAATATTTGCTCTATATGCTTTATTTTAATGGCATTAAGATAATTCATATTAATCCATAAAATCCTATAAAATGAAGTTAGAGAATGTCCTTCGATGTAAAAAATCTAGATATGCAAATAGTATATGCTATTGAATATAGGACTTTAAAAAAAACTATGACGTTCAAGATAGTTTATTACATGAATCGTTCAAATGGTCATTTTAGATGAAAAAGCACTCCTTTCAGTTTCTTAATTGTAGCTCGAAAACGAAGTAAAATTTCGCTAATTCATAGGAAAAATTATTTAGAGAATTGAATTTCTCATCGAAATAGCTTATTTAAAAAATTTAACACGAAAATTTTATGCAAAAATAATTGTTAATAAACAATTTTGAAAAAAAGCAAAAAATTCGATTTTCTGATTTTTTAAATTTTTTGCCTCTAATTTTTTTTTGTAAAGATAGGTATAGGCATTGCTTCATAGAAAAAAAAAGTAGATAAAATTTCCTTCAAAACAAGAGGTTGTAAAGTATTTTT